CTGTGTGTGAGTGTGTGAGTGAGTGTGTGTGTGTGTGTGTGTGAGAGTGCGTGCGTGCGAGCGAGTGTGCGTGTGTGTGTGTGTGTGTGATTTCACTCTGCCGCTCAAAGTCGCGTGTGATTTTCCATCTGTGTGTGTTTGAAACAGAGGGATCTGGAGCTGCAGCAGGTGAAGGAGAGAGAAGACGAGACTGAGAGACGGAGAGATGAACACCGGCTTCCCAGCATGCAAAGCTGCGGCACTCAGACCCAGCAGGTAGTGTAAACAGCACCGTTTCCCTGGCAACAGACTCCTCCCTTCATTTAAAAAGAGCTCATCCATGGTTTCTCAGTCGCTGAAGAGTTAATAATAAATAATTATATAAATATAAATAAATACATTTTAGTGTAATAAATATATAAACATAAATAGTAAATGTAGAAATTTTAATAAATGAATAATTACATAAATATGTAAACATATGTCTGCCCCACCTGCACTTCCTCCTCTGTGCCACAAGGTGGCGCTCGTCTCCTTAGAAACGGCTGATGTCAGGTGCAGCTGTTGCTATGGCAGCGCAGTAGAAGCCCTTCTCATGTTGTGCTGAATTTGACTGTGTGTGTGTTCTGGAGCTGCTGCGCTCAGTTTGACAAACACAACAGACTGCGATGAAATGACGGGCTTCTTGTCTGCCATTTCTTTCCTGCCTGTTCATAAACTCCAGACGAGAGAGGAGGAGGAGGAGGAGACGAAGGTCAGAGGTCAGGGAAGAGCCGTGACCTCGCAGCCACACACACAGGACCCAGAGCTCTCGTCTGATGTCATCACCACTGAGAGGTGAGGAGTAATTAGAGCTCATGAATAATTCAGGATTTGATTCGGCACAAACAAAAGTTCTATAAAGTCATTAGACTAATAGATAGATTTTATGTGCTTATTTTAATTTTACCTATTTATGATTTAATAAACTTTTAATAAGTGTTTTATTTTTGTTGTTTCTATTTTAAAATTATTTTTTGTATTTTAATTTGACATTTTTATGATTTAATACATTGTTTTATTTAGATTTTTTGTTTTGAAATTTTTTATTTAATTTATTTTTAGTAAGTTGTGTGTCGATTTGTTTTTATTTTACAAATATGTATTTACTTTAATTTTAAATTTTTCTGATTTAATAAATTTTTTAGTATGCATTATTTTTTTAAATTTATTTTAATTAAAAAAAAATTATTTAATAAATTTTTAGTCAATTTTATTTTTTGTTTTTATTTTAAGATTATTTTAATTTTATAATTTAATAATACATTGCAACTGTTATTTTATTTTTTTTAATTATTGATTGATTTTAATTTTACATATACTTTTACTAAGTGTTTTATTTTTTTTATTTTGAAAAAAAAAAATTTAATTTTACATATTTATGATTTAATAAACTTTTAATAAGTGTTTTATTTTTATTATTTCTATTTTAAAATTATTTTTTGTATTTTAATTTGACATTTTTATGATTTAATACATTGTGTTTTATTTTGTTTTTTTATTTTGAAATTTTTTATTTTAATTGGACATTTTTTATTTAATTTATTTTTAGTAAGTTGTATGCCGATTTATTTTTATTTTACAAATATTTATTTACTTTTTACATTTTTCTGATTTAATTCATTTTTAGTATGTTTTATTTAGTTTTTTATTTTAAAATGTATTTTAATTTGACATTTTTTATAAAAAAAAATTTTTACTAAGTATTTTATTTTTGTTTTTATTTTAAAAATATTTATTTTAATTTTACAATTTTAATTATTTTAGTAAGTTTTATTTTTATTTGTTTTTATTTTAAAAGTAGTTATTTTAATTTTACATTTTTATGATTTAATTAGTTTCCAGCTTTTCAGCAGCTCTGTTTGGGAGCCCCTGATAGACAGACAGGTGTTTCTCAGCAGTCAGTAAGCGGTGTCTTTCTCCTCTCGCAGGGATGTGCTGCGTAAAGCGAACACTCGTCTGCGTCAGGCTCTGACTGATGTGCTGAAGACGACGGCGGCGGCGGAGGAGACCATCGGCCGTCATGTGGAGGGCATCCTGGAGGCAGGACCTGCTAGAGGTCAGACACACTAACACACACTTTCCTCTATAACATAACTCACCAGGCGATCTGGGTTTGATTGAAGTCTCAGGTGTCCCCAGAATGTGTCTATGAAGTTTCAGCTCAAAATACTCCATAGATCATTTTGAAAATGCCTATTTTGAGTGGAAGCAGAAACACGCCGTTTTCGTGCCTGTCTCTTTAAATGCAAATGAGCTGCTGCTCCCCGCCCCCTTTTCCAGAATAGAGCTGCGCCATTACAGCTCGGACCTGCTAAAAACATCTGTTTTGGTTCTGATTATCATGTTTATCGCGCTGAAATCATGCGTTTTAAACCATATGAGTTTAAACTTCACATATACGGTTTTAGCCGCACACGCACAGAAAGCGGCTGTCACAGCACGTGAGTGCTAAACTAAGTTCTCATTCACGCACAAGTTTACATTAAAAACACACACGAGTTACAAAAACAGTGGGTTATGTCTGTGAAGGTAAACAGCTGGGAAATAAATCGCATGTTTATGTTAGATCTGTGTGGCAGCAGCAATATACAGTAAATAAATCAATAAATGCACTGCTCTGTTGTCTCCTCTGAGGCTGGGACTCTAAACAGTGTTGTGTGCTCGTCTGTGCAGCCAAACACAGAACAGTTAGCATGCTTTGCTCAAACTTTCTCCATGGCATTAGAACTAGTACACCGTTGTCGCTTGTGAAAACACAATAACGGAGCCGTGGGTGTAAACTTACAGATTAAGGGGCGGTAATATTATAATGAGATCCCTTTGCCACGTCACAGATGGAGCGAAATCAGACACGCTCGTTTTCTCAGACGCTTGCAGAAAAATGCTTCCCAAAACAGTTACTGGGTTAATCTTTTTCACGTTTCCTTGGTTGATAGATGCACCGGGGACCCGATTATAGCACTTACAACCTGGAAAAGTCAGATTTTCATGATATGTCACCTTTAATGTCAGTGATCAGAAGTGTTTGTGTTCAGCTATAATCTTGTTTGATAGAAGATTTAGAAACGTCTGACATTAGTCACACCAAAGCTCGTCTGTGAGGAGTTAATAACGATGTAATTGATGTGTGCGAAGCCACATCAGATCCTGTCTGTCTTGTTTGTCCTTTTCTGTTGACTCATTGTCTTTGCATAGAGATGTTTTGTGTACTGTGGAGGTGAGGTCATGTGACCTGCGTATGGGTGTGTTCACTGATGCCAAACCGTGTTATTTTACTGTCACTGAGATATTATTATCATAGTTTTAGCAATATTTTGAATGAGGGCTGTGCGGTGTGACCGTATGCATCGTTACTGTGGTGTAAAGTGTGTGTTGTTTTTGCTATAGGCCTATCGTTTATTTTGGGGTATGCAAATATATCTGCGTAGCACTGTACAATTTTAAATCAGTTTTTATTTCATATTTTATTATTTATAAATAATATTTATTATAATTTTAAATTTTAGTTAAAGTTTTAGTAATTGTGTTGTGTTTTGATACTTTTATAGTTTTTATTAATATTTTGAATCGGTTTTTATTTCATATATTAATATTTATTATTTAGAAATAATATTTATTATTATTTATTTTAATTTTAGTTAAAGTTTTAGTAATTGTGTTGAGTGTGTCTTTGTCATTTTTAGTAGCTTTTTTATATTTCAAGTAACAATTTTTTTTGTTTTTATGGTTTCAGTTTCTGATTTAGTTTTAGTATAACGTAATAACCATAATTGCTATAATACACCTGATATGAAATATACAGTATCATGCCCTGGACATGATCGAGCTCAGGCTGAATATGAGACAGACACTCCTGTAACTCAACACCCAAAACACACAAAAGACCCTGAACGAAACTACGTCCTTATTGTGTGAGATCATCTGAGTGACTCATTCATGTCTCGTTTATGCCTTTGTGATCTCATACATTAATCTGGAGTTCATTAAGTATTAATCCGTTACATCTCTGTCCTACAAAATCTGTTATTTTCAAAAACATCACATGCCTGACTGTGTTAAAGCTTTATACGGTTGTTATTTAAAGGCCTTTCTTTCATAATTGTTGAGTTGTTTTGATGTCGCTCATCAGAATCTCTTCTGTCCCGCACGCAGAGGGTTTCCACGGCAACGAGACGGTCGCCGATGATCTCTGCATGTTTTCAGGAGAGACCGAGACGGACGAAGGCCTGGAGGTGTCGCTGAGGATCAAGGGGGCGGAGCTACAGCTGCAGGAGGCGGAGCTTCCGCTGGAGAGGGAGGAGTTTCTGATGAGCATCAGCACTCGACTGCAGAGCGCCGTGGAGAAGCTGCTCATCACCATCACTGAGACCAGCACTCAGGTACGGCAAGCACAAGGAGCCAAAATAAACCGGGTCTACTCTAAACGTTTCAAGAGTTCAGAAACACACAAAAGTTTGGGGTTTTAGTCATCGAGGACCTGTATTTCAAATACATTTCTATTCATCTGTGAATCCTGAAAAATAAAATGAATCATGGTTTCCGCATCAATATTAATGTTTTCAACATTGATAATAATCAGAAATGTTTCTTGAGCAGCAAATCAGCATATTAGAATGATTTCTGAAGATCATGTGACACTGAAGACTGGACTAATGATGCTGAAAATACAGCTGCGCATCACAGAAATAAATTACAGTTTAACATATAATCACATAGAAAACAGCTGTTTTAAATAATAAAAATATTTCACAATTTTTACTGCATTTTTGATCAAATAAATGCAGCCTTGCTGAGCAGAAGAGACTTCTTTCAGAAACATTAAAATCTTTCTGACCCCAAACTTTTGAACTGTGTGTGTGTATGGCTGTTTGTTGGTTAAACACATTATGACTGGCTCATGCCGGTGATATCAGATGAAAGCTCAGAGGACACATGTCTGCTCCGGTGGGCGGGGCTATCCGCTCCGGTTGCCTGTAGATACCAGCAGATTTGCATACTGCTTCGGTCGCCGTGGCAGCAGCGTAACCCCGCCCCCAGTGCTCATCTGTAGGCTGAGGGCGTGTGCAGTGAAGCCAAACCATCTTTCCTAATGGTTTATTTCAGATCAGATACAGATCCTGACTGCACACATAAACAAATATCCATTATCTCTCCAATAATCAGTGTTATCTCTCAAAGCATATTTTGATGGACTCTGATGGTTTCCTGTTGGGCTCTGTGCTGTTTGGTTGATTCTTATGAAAAGATTTTTAATGAAGTGAGAACAATTTTTTTTTTTTTTTGTCTAAAATGAACTTTTATAAAAAAAATGTATTTATTTATTTTTCTATTTTTCACATTTCTCATCACAACTACAGCTGATTTGACTCCTGTTGGACTCAAAAATAAACTTTTTATGTGTTTATTTATTTAATCTTATAGATTTTTTTAATTATGATTTTTTCTATTTTTCACATGTTTCTCGTTATGAATTCAGCCGTTTTAACTTCTGCTGGACTTTCAAAAATAAACTATTTATTTATTCATTCATATTTTTTATTATTTTTTCTATTTTTCACATGTTTCTCGTTATGAATAACTTCTGTTGGACTTTCAAAAATAAACTTTATTTATTTATTTATTAATATTTTTTATTTTTTCTATTTTTCACGTTTCTCGTTATGAATAACTTCTGTTGGACTTTCAAAAATAAACTATTTATTTATTTATTTATTAATATTTTTTATTTTTTCTATTTTTCACGTTTCTCGTTATGAATAACTTCTGTTGGACTTTCAAAAATAAACTATTTATTTATTTATTTATTAATATTTTTTATAATTTTTTCTATTTTTCACGTTTCTCGTTATGAATAACTTCTGTTAGACTTTCAAAAATAAACTATTTAATTTTTTTTTTGTCTTATTTTTGATTATCTCGTTATGACTTCTGTTAGACTTTCAAAAATAAACTATTTATTTATTTATTAATATTTTTTATTATTTTTTCTATTTTTCACGTTTCTCGTTATGAATAACTTCTGTTAGACTTTCAAAAATAAACTATTTAATTTTTTTTTTGTCTTATTTTTGATTATATTTTCAATTTTCCACATGTTTCTCATCACAACTACAGCTGTTTTAACTCCTCTTGTACTTTCAAAAATAAACTATTTATTTATTTAATTTTTTTCCATTTTTCACATGTTTCTCACCACAAATATCGCTGTTGTAGCTGACATGGCACAGAGTTATGAACAAACAAATATCTTGGTATGCTAATAATTTGGCTGCCTTCTATCTATATTGATATTTTATGCTACAGATCTGAAGATTATATCGGATCAGATCCTGTTTGACTTGAAATATGAGCAAATGCGCACGTGTTGAGGGTAACTCTCAAGCCGCTGAAACACTAATGGACGTGTGTATCTGATGTAATCAGAGCCATGCTGCTGTAAAACGCAGTAAAACACCACGGTAAAACGCCTCAAATCAATACAACACTAAAATCTGAGCAAATACAGTATTTGCCGGTGATGCATGGTTGAAAAAGTAAAAAAAAACAGCATTTGTTTGAAATATAAATCTTTTGTGACATTCTAAATGTCTTTGCTGTCACTTTTGATCAATTTAATGCGTCCTTGATTAATAAAAGTATTAATTTCTTCATAAAAAAATATCCTACTGACCCCAAACTATTATAATAATTTCTCTCATAAGGTCTATAATCTGTTTTTTATTCTGAAAACGAGCTTCACATGTTCCATATTCTGGTTCTCATCTGTTAATACTGGAGATGATTGCTCTGTAAAACACAGTAAAAATTGTGAGACTTTTAGGATCTGAGTGAGATTAATCAGTTTTAATTGTGCTGTTAATGCTGGTTTCTCAGGTCTTAATGGCTTTCCCGTGAGCTAATCGTGTAAGGGCTTGTTCAGGAATGAAGATTTATGTCCAGGTTTGCGTGGAGGACGAGTAGTTAATCAATAATGTTGTTATCAGGGAGGCTTTGAAGAGAAAATAATTACTCGGGTGGCACATTCCTGATTATTAATTGTCTTCATGGTCTTTAACCCTCATAAAGCATTCAGGTCTGTGACATGCATAACAATTCCTAAACAATGCATGGTTTTTAGTAAGGGAACGAAACTTTGCAGATGCTTTAGGACCCTTAAAATACACTTAGTTTATTTCTTTCAGATTTTTTACAGTTATTTCTTAAGAGATATAACGTGTTTCGTGTTCGTGTTTTTTACTTGGGTCTGTATGGAGAACCATTAGCTGTCAAAAATACTTTTTGAACAATTATCTACGAAGTTATATTAGTGTCTTTTCGTCTCTTCCTCATATCTCACACGCTTTTGGACTGAATTTTGTTGATTAACATGAATATGTGCGTCTATTGTGGGAAAACTGACCGTGAAAGGGAGAGTTTATGCAAATAATGTCTATTTATTTAGTTTGAAAACTTCTCCGAGTAATATTCATATCGTTTTGATGTTGTTTTGTTAGAAATAAATATGTGGGTTTCATACACTCGAATGAGGTTAATACTGATAATTCTCACGTTATATGTTCTTATAAATTTCATACAATGATATATCCAAATCGAATTTCTCATCAGTATTGAAAAAAAATATCTATGTATTTTACATAATTTCTTTTTTTGGGTCTGGTTCAATTTCAAAGAATTTCTCAATTTTTTTTAGTTAATAGAAAAGGGGTAAATGCAGTCAAAGCTGCTTTTTTTTCGTTCACTCTTTAATGAAAGTGAATGAAAGTGAACAGTGAAAAATATTAAGTTTTATCAAATTCAAAAGGACCAGGAATGTGAAAATTGTGTAGAGATTCTGAGTGCATTATGAGGCTTAAATCATTTAGTTCTCAGTTGTGGAGCAGGAATCTAGTCGGACAGGCTCGGGCAGGGTGTGTGTTTGTGTGTGTGTGTGTGTGTGTGTGTGAGAGCGTGTGAGTGTGTGTGTCTGAGTGTGTGTGTGTCTGTGTGTGTGTGTGTGTGTGTCTGTGTGTGTGTGTGTGTGTGTGTGTGTGTGTGTGTGTGTGTGTGTGA